GCAATCGTGTGAAAATATTTAGCAATTGTGACTGCCATAGTACTTGAGAGATGGTTTTCATAGATGTCCAGAAGAGCTTTCATGGATAGTTTTCATGTTGCTCTTTCAGTCGCCGCGTTTTCTGGAGAGTTTACGTCAGAGAGTTTCTTCCGCAGCCGTCGCGACTTTTTTCTTCCGCAGCCGTTTCGACTCAATGCATTAATAAGGATGCAGAGGGCCGCACCTCTGTATGTGATCTATGTTGCAGCCAACCACAGCCCATGTAGTACTGTGCGAGACCTGAGGAATGTCATTGACAGTTTTACGCCGGTAGAGATCCACGGAAGGGGCTATGACACGGGAGGCTTTGTTTTGTTGAAATCCTTTGATCTTCAGAGGGTTTGGGCTTTGTGGCACTACCTCAAGCAGAATGGGTTCAACATTGGTGTGGAAAAGGGGCCGACTATTGAAGCCCAAGGCGGCAGGCGGCTGGCCCCCTTCCCCCATCCAGGGCAAGATGAAGCATTGTTGAAAGAGCAGAATAGGACTTGGGCTTGCATATTGATTGAAAAAACTGTTGGGTTGTAAACAAATATATATATATATATATATAGATATTCACCTTCAATGATTTGGTGGGAGAACTTGGATTGGACAGGACCTCCGCATTTTAGCCATTAGTGTTTTTTGCGTTTGTTTTGCAGGACCTCCGCTCAGACTTCCAAACAGGATGCGGGTGATGGACCTGGTGCTTCAGCAAACACTGAAACTCCTCGTAGTGCAGCCCTTCATCACCCACCACCTGCGGAAGCAGGATTGCCTGAGTTTGCTGATGATGGGGAAAAGAAGAAAAAGAAGAAAAAAAAAGAAGAAAACGCCTGGAGAGCCATCAGACTCTGATACCGAACTGCGTGGTAAATCTCTCAGCGCAGAGCTGCCTGCTGGTTCAGAGTTACCTGCCAGATGCTCAGTGTGTGTGTGTGTCTGTGTGGTGAACATTGATCCACTACAGCTACAGTGCAGTTCTTTGTGACATTTTTTTAAGGACACAGTGGCACCAGATGCACCAGATTTGCCAGAAACGGAACCCCGATCCTCTCGCTCACCCCATGAGGCCCTGACAATGCTCTATGCTGGACACAATTACCTTTTGTTTGAGTACAGGTCTTGTTGACAAGTTTCCAAACACTTGTTCACTTGCACAGGCCCTGAACAACGATGAGATCCAGCATCGGAGACGTGCTTCAACAAGTCGCTCTCGCAAGCGCAAACGAAGGAGACGATCTACCAGCTCACGGTCGGCAACCAATCGGCGAGTCAACACCATTGTGAGGAATCTTCAGGCTGGTATAACATGCCTACAAAAAGCACTGGACGACTTGGAAGACGTCGCAGAGAGGATCTGATGGTGCAGTGAAGGCAAGGTTTGAGCGTGATGCGCTTAAGCTTAAACTTATTGTTTTCTCAATGATTTGTATGTTTAAGAAACATTAAACTTTCAAGTCAAACGTTCATCAAAATCATGAAATATGCTTGTGCAAATTTGATTTTGTGTTGAAAAAATAGCAAGACCTTTGTGTTTCGACTCAAAGGTTCATCAAACCTTTGATAACTATTTCACTTTTAGAGTCTAAGTTTCATAAAACTTTTGACAAAAAATGCTTCTAAGAATCAAAGTTTCATCAAAACTTTGACCAAACTTTGATTTTAAGAATCAAAGTTTAGTCAAAGTTTTGACAAAACTTTGATTTTTCAAATCAAAGTTTCATTAAAACTTTGATCTTAAAATCAAAGTTTGGATCAAAGTTTTATTTCAATAATCAAAGTTTTGATTAAACTTTGATTCCAAATCAAAACTTTGATTTCAATATCAAAGTTTTATCAAAACTTTGATTTTTAAATGGCAAACTTTGACTTTACACTCAAAGTTTGGATAAAACTTTGATTTTATGAATCAAAGTTTTGTCAAAGTTTTGATGAAACTTTGATTCTTAAATCAAAGTTTTGTCAAAGTTTTGATGAAACTTTGATTATTTGAATCAAAGTTTTGTCAAAAGTTTGATGAAACTTTGATTCTTGAAAGCAAAGTTTTGTCAAAAGTTTGATGAAACTTTGATTCTTGAATCAAAATTTTGTCAAAAGTTTAATGAAACTTTGATTGTAAGAGTCATAATATTATCAAAGGTTTAAGATTTTTGATTCCAAATGCAAAAGCTTTTCCATGAAATCAGCAGCTTTGATTACAAAAATCTCATTGACTTGTCAGTAGTCTGTCTGACAAAACTGTGGCTCTTTCTGGGTTTCGTACGTGTTTTTTGTTTAGCGAAAGCATTAATACATTGAGCCTGTTCAAGCCAGTTCTTGTGAAAATCACTCATTGCTGGCAGGCTTTGGCTGCTCGGACTCCAACCGACTTGCTCACAAGATGGAAAAAATGCACAAAGATTGCGCGTTTGGTTGTATGTTTGAGAGAGAGTTTCTTGAACGTTTATTGATGGATAGTCTCTTGAGAGTTTTCTGATGGAGAGTTTCTTGATAGCTTTTGATGGAGAGTTTCGTCAATGTTTTAACAGATAGTTTCTTAAAGTGTTGTGATGGAGCGTTTCTTGAACGTTTTTTGGTGAGAGTTTCCTGAGAGCTTTTTGATGAAGAGTTTCCTGAGAGCTTTTTGATGGAGAGTTTCTTTCGTGTTTTAACAGAGAGTTTCTTAAAGTGTTTTGATGGAGCATGTCTTGAGAGTTTTTTGGTGAAGGGTTTCTAGAGAGTTTTTTGATGGAGAGTTTCTTTCGCGTTTTGACAGATAGTTTCTTAAAGTGTTTTGATGGAGCGTGTCTTGAGAGTTTTTTTTGAAGAGTTTCTAGAGAGTTTTTTGATGGAGAGTTTATTGAGGTTTTGGAAAGATTGAGAGTTTTTTGAAGGATAGTTTTTTGATTGAGATTTTCTTGGCTCACAGACATTTTTAGGCATGCAATTCCCACAAACTAGTGCCTTGGAAAGCTCACAGCTCTCTTTTCTTAGCTCACAGACATTTTCAGACACGCAATTTCCACAAACTAGTGCTCTTGGCAAACTCAGAGCTCTTGAGCGTTCATGGAAGAAGTCTACAAGCATGCCTTCAGCAAAGGTAGAACGGCTTCAAGGGCTAAGGCTTTCGAAGATGAGTTCTTCCAGAGAAGAGCTACCAGCGCTTTAGCGGATTTGCTTATCTCATCATGGGTTTGGGGGCACATCAGTGCAACTATGGTCCAAAAGGTTGCTCAAGCGGCCAAACAAGATGTGGAGTCATCAGGGATTTCACAAAAGATCTGGAGTTGGGAAATTTTGAGCCAGCTAGGAACAGCTGGCGCAAACCCTCAGAATATCAGAAGGGACCTTGAGCGGAAGTTGCCAGCACCGTTGTGCCAGTGTACAAGCTTCATGGTCCCACTCAGACTTCCGCTCACAGGTGGGAGAGCTCAAGTGGGCAATGTGCAACTCCCAATTCTTCTTCCAGAAACGAGTTTCAACAACTTGTGGAAAAACAAAGATGCTTGGAAGGAGATGATCCTCCCCAGGCCCGAAGAGTTGGAGATGTTTTGGAGTGCAGTGTGTGAGCACCCATGTGTGATTAATCACCCCATGAAGAATTTGAATTCATGGTCGAAGCGCTGCATACCCTTGGCACTACATGGCGATGGTGCTAGTGTCACACAACAGATAGGTTCCGGTTCCAAATCATGCCTTTTCATTTCATACCGGAGCCTCATGGCATCTTCAGGCAAGTCAAAGAATAAACACATATTGATCGCAGCAGCGTGGACGCGTCACGCAGCCAAGGATGTCAATGGCTTCAACACAGACGCAAAGATTTGGTCCATCATTGCGAACAGTTTCAAGCGCATTTTACAATCAGAAGGGCAGTCGACCGGAGGATTTATAGCTGTACCTTGCTTTTCTACAGGTGACTTGGAATACTTCTCGTCTTGGCACCGTTGTCCTCATTGGACATCAGCTAAGCCTTGCTCACTGTGCTCCATCTCCAGTAGCAATCTGGCGGATTATCGCAACATCCCCCTCCCGCCAGAAGACCCTTGGAACCTTCCGCGGAACCATGCTTGCCCACTATTTCAAGAAATTTTGAGCCCCAGCAGCATCAGCCCCGATTGGCTCCATACCAAGCACCTGGGAATTGACCAGAGGCTGATTGGAAGTGTTGGATGGGTCATCCTGCAGCATCTCTTCACTGAGGGATCATTGGAAGAGCGCTGTGGGAGTTTGCTGAAGCAGCTGAAAGAGGTTTGGTCAAACAGAAAAAATGCAGGGTTGCCTCACGAACTTGACTGTCAAAATGCTGATGACAGACAAGAACGCAACCAAGAAGTACCCCAAGTTGAAAGCCAAAGCGTATGAGACCAAACAATGTTTGGTCGCATTCCTGGAGGTCTGGACCAATGCAATGGATGCAGGTTGTCAAGCCCATGAATGGGTTAAATTGGCCTTGTCCAATTCATTGCGCATGGACGAGATCATCGATCAGTGCAAAGAAGACTTCAAGCTGAACCCTTCAGCATTTGCTGAACTCACCCAATGCGCCAAGAACTACACCTTGCTCAACATTGCCTTACACAAATGGTACAGTGACAAGGGATTGCGTTTGTTCCAGGTTGGAACCATGAAGGGTCATTGGTTACATCACTCTGTGGCCCTTTCACGCTTCATTAACCCATATCTTTTGCAGTGCTACTCCGGCGAAGACTTTATGTCGGTCATGAAGACCTTACTCCATGCCTGCCTGAATGGGCGCACAGCCTTGAGCGCATTAAGACATTTTATGTCGAGGTACATCCTTGCTTTCACATACGAGGTTGCTTTTGCTAGTCGAACCTGGAGGCTCAAATGACCAGTCGCTTTGAGAACAAATGTCCTTGGTCAGGCTGTCTTGTTGGACTTCCAAGGCTCATGTCTTTTGATTATCATTGCTCATGATGGAAAATCTTTTGTTCAGGCAAAAGTTTTGGGCTCAAGTCTAATAGTTGTACAGCATGGAACTTCCCATTACTCAAGAAAGAACCAAAGTTTTGCCCCATGTCACTGTGGCTGCTCTCCAGAAGTCTCTGGAGCTTGGTTTCAGCCAGGCCCACAATCAAACGTTTACACTACTATTGTCCATAGCTACATCAGTTCAGAGCCAAAGCACGCTGGGCAGGTTGGACATCGAAGCTTGTCGGTTCTGATCACCGACTTGGAAGGCATGAGTTGGAAGACTGCACCTTCCAAACATGTGCCTGCATTCGTTACACTCGAACCAATTCTGGTGCACATCTTGGAAATTTGCAACAACGGCCTCATCCCAGACTCCAAGTTGATGACAGCCGCTTAGCTATCAATACCTGGAGCTTAAGCTTTGCCCAACACACGCATGTTGAAAGCAAAGGTTAGCCTGACAACACTGAGGCAATGCGAGCTATGCACGAGCAGAAGAACTTCCAGTGTGGCGCAAGCGGTTCTTTCTCAATGATGTGTCCCTTTGTTTGTCAGAAGCTTCGACAAATGGGCAGCAAGATTCGGGGAATTGCTACTTGCCCTACCTCCTGGGAACAGCTCGAGCGCAAGTTGACTGTGCGACAAAGGGAGGCCTTCGTCAAGCTTTGCCGCTGTATCGACAATCGTTTTCTAGGTTCCAGTGAGGGCGCCGAATTAAGCCCCAGCCCGGTGCGGAGCTGAGTTTTTTACCATTGATTTGTTTAGGGAAGAGTTTCTGCATGGAATTTGTTCAGGGCGTCGAGTCCTTCTAAAATCGAGTTTTGATTTTCATATTTCAGAGAGTTTTTGAGATGAGAGAGTTTCAGAGAGTTTATGAGAGTTCAGAGATTCTTTCAGAAAAAATCAGACTCTTCATTTTTGCGCTTTGCTTTGACTCTATAGATTGTGACGCTTGATCCTCTGGCTGACCTCTATGCTAAGGCACCTACGAAGAGGCTGCGTGCTGATGCTGATGCTTCACAGGCTCCTATGAAGAGGCCGCGTGCTGATGCTCCTGCTGATGCTTCTCCGGAACATACGAAGGAACCCATGCAGGACATGGAGTCCTCACCAAATTTGTTCATGAAGGTCTGACTTCTTTAGTTTGTTCCTGGACAGTACTGGTGGCTTCTTGGATTTGGCAGATGCGAAGGCCGCCAAGGCAGCGAATGCCGCCATGAGATGTGGGCAACCCTCTTGTTCAGGGAGCAATGCTCAAACTGCAACAAGCCAGGAGAAGGTCAAGACGAGCAAGAACCGCAAGCAAGTCAGTGGGGAGAAGACATGGTGGCAGGCGCTTGGGCAGCAACAGTCACCCTTGAGCAGTTACTACTTGCAGGACCAGAAGAAGGGCCTCAAAATGGATGCT